TCATCATTGATTGTCTCACGTGATGATAATTGTGGAAATCTATCCGGCTTCTATCGTCTTTAGAAAGATATATAACTCCGAGAAAGAGTATAAATTTGTATTAATTAATTTTTTTATGCAATCACATACATTATACACACATATACACGCTACATTTCCATTGACTTTATGTTAAATCATACACAGAAGAAACGTTTGGTTGAATCAACCAAATTTTTGATAAGATATGAACAAACCAAAAAAATCCGCTCGAAGAGATATCAGAATTCTGTTGAAGTTAACCAGAAATCTTGCTAACTTAAACATGATTCTAGTAAACCTCAATTTCTCATTTGTTCATATTTCACTAGAATTTAATTAATTCGATGAAACTTCTCTCCTTTTTCCTATGTATGCGAAATCCGTGTACGTTTGCCTTGAAAACTCGAAGAAAACTAGGCAAGTGATTTACGCAGTCGAGCGCGAACGGCATCGGTGGTAATCGCACATTTTGCGACATGATTCACCGGCACGACGACCGAGAAAAATTCGAACGGTTCTGTTGCTCGGCAGAGAGACAGTGCAGAATTACTCTTGGAAACTCCCGGGCCGGGAATCCACCGTTCAGAACCGGATTGGTCGCTAAGGAGATCGGTAGAATTTAACTCGGCCACTTGGGAGTTCCCGGCTTATTCGTGCCTCCGGCGCGCCTCGTGACGTCGACCGCGGCGTGCCACGACACAGTAGTGACGTCAGAAGAAAATTTCCCCGACGCGTCGACAAACCGTTGACCAAAAGCCAACGAACAATCATTAACGGTTTCTGGCAATATCAACAAGTTCTTCCCCTCGTTCTTTCCGCATTTCTTTCGTCACACTCCGTCGAGGCACTTTTTGAAAAACGAAAGCGACGGTATTTCCCATTCATATTAAGGTAAATGTCCCAATGACCGAATTAATAAGAAAGCACGATCAGTTTTGCATGTTTACTAATAAATAATAGAGTTACTAGCAAACCTAATGTTTACGTGAAATTTCAGTTTGTCAGCAATCGAGAAATAATAAGAAATAAAATAATCAATAAATATCAATTATGATTTGATTGAAATATTAAGTAGTGCTGGTTGTAGTTGTAATTGAGCTGGAAAATAAATCATGTCTTAATTACTGAGTAATACAGATTCGATGATTGAATACATTAAATAATATTACAAATTGCCATAAAGATGCGTCTTTTAACAAAATTTGGGGAATGTTTAGTTTCTTGTCGCTACTTTTGATGACCTCAATCTTGATCTTATGTTGTGACCGAAAACACCTTAAATAAGATTACTCAGAACACAGCAACTAAATTCTAGGGAAGTTTTGTTACCTTTGGTTCTGTAACAGCCGAAGTCTTTGAAGTCTTTATTATCATCCGGATAATAAAAATTATCGTTTTGGACAAAAATCGTTATAATAACGAATCTTTATTTGTTCATAATCTTCTAATAAACAATAACTGCTGAATATGACTTTTCGGAATCATTACCTTCATATCTATAAAGATCGAAATCATCGAAAATGACGATCATAAACTGAACATTTATCCAAAATTTCAAAGGCTTTCCTCCGGAAAAATACATTAAATGCAAATAAGATAAATGTTCTAATAACTACACTAATAAGAAAGCATGATCAGTTTTACATTTTTATTAATAAGTAATTAATAAAATTACAAAGAAAACTAATGTTTATATAAAACCTTGGTTTGTCAATCAATCGAGAAATAATAAGAAATAAAATTAATCGTTAAATATCAATCATAATTTTGATATTAATTTGATAATGCCAGTTATTATGAGGAATGAATCGTATCCTAATTACTGAACAGTACAGACCTAGTAATTGAATAATATTAAATAATATTACAAATTGGGGCATAAATATATATTTTTAAAATTTTAAACATCTTTTTAGAAATATTAAATACAAATATTTTTAATGTTTCAATTCTTGGGACAAGGTTTGGTTATTGAGAGATTTATCTTATATTATTAATGTTTCGATCGATTGGGACATGTTCAATTACTGGCACATTTATTTTAAGTCTAAGATCGACTGGTCGATCGAAATTCGCGCGTGCCGCTTCCTTGATTTCGGGATAACCCCGATTTTGGGGAGTACCAAGCGAAGGACGCCGAATACCGGACCAACATGTGTATCAGAGAGGGGACCAGTTCCGAAGTGTTGTGGTCTGTCTCTTCCGCCTCGGCAGTTTTACGCAGAGTCGCCGAATATCGCCGATTAATCTTCACGGTCATCGTTTGTCTACCGTTTTGTATCGATCACTGCGTCAAGAATCAAACACGCCCACACACACATACACACAACGCTTGCTCAGCTTCTCGCATGATAATTTAAATAACAAAGTTGCGTTTTCTCTCTTCGTTGAACTTAATTTCCACTTAACCTAGGCTTTTCCAAGAGTTCCGCATCTAAGAGCGCGTATCTGAGTGATCACCGGTCAAGGACGATCGAATTTCCGAAGTCTCTGGATCTATCCAGCTGCTAGTTACGCAACGCGCGCGCGCGTTTTACGCGGATTTAACATTTTTCTATTTCCGTATGCGCTCGCGTACACGCCGCGCTATTATGTAAATCACAGCGCGAGCAGGTTCTTAAGGACGTGCCGTCGCTATTAAATATTCATCGTGACAATTCTCACGCACCCGCCGAACGCAACGTTCGTTCGTCGAGGAACTCCTGAACTAGTGCAACAAGTCAGAGTGAGAGAAAGTGTACGCTTGTCCTTACTATTGACGTATCGCACCGGTGCGGAGATCCTAAAAAATGGATGAACCTATTATGCCGGCGAAATGCAACGCGACTTCGGCCCTGCGTTTTCACAGTCGTGCCTTTAGAAAGCCGTAAAGAGCGATTACGTGTGCGACATTTTCTCACGGAAGATATTTCACCAACCGACCGGTTGCTCATTTCGTCGCACGCACAACCGCGCGTCTTGTGCGCGCGTACATGCGTTCATATCCGGCGCGTTGACGCACGGAGAGGTGATGATCGAGTGGCGAATCTGTGCCGAGAATCGCGCGAAATACGTCACACGCCGCAGGCGAGTTTCGATGTGACGTCGGCGCGAGCCCAAATCACGATCTAAACGTGGATCTACCGCTTTTGCGCAAAGCTGGAGGAAAACCCAAGGAAAAAAGTCAAATTATTCTCCGCCTTTTCCTCCTCTTAATGGGATGAGAACGATAGAGCTAATTTCATTCCACTTATCTTCGTGTCGGCATCGTGAGGTGAGTTGTTTCCTCGTCGATTTTTCTCTCTTTCTCCTAGGTTGCCAATTTGTCGTCTGATTTATCCTCATGTCGGCATTATGCAATTTACGACGTGACGCCAAATAAAAATGCAAGTCTCGATATGGAAGAGATAAGCCCGTAAATCGCACTTCGACTCGCGTGTTGGCTTCGTGTATTCGTAATCGTTATCGTCTTCCGCTTGATTTGACGCTACGTTTGTTTAACATTTATTTCTTTTGCTCGACTTCTATCTGCTTAACATTTATTCCACATATTCTGCTTCTCCATGTCGTGTCTGCAGAGTACACGTATGTGTGTGACGCATGTATATGACCTGTGTTCTTGCTTCCCTCAGCTCCGTTGCTTAACATTTGCTCCTTTTGCTCTATTTCTACTTGTTTAACATTTATTCCTCATATTTTGTTTCTCCATGTCGTGTCAGCAGAGCACACGCATATGCGTAATCTGTGTTTTATGTCTTGTTTCCTTCAGTTACGTTGCTTAACATTTATTCCTTTTGCCTTATTTCTATTTATTCAACATTTCTTCCTCTTATTCTCTACTTCTCCATGTTGTCTGTCGAGTACATGCATGTGTGCAACGTTATATTAAATGTTTTTGCTTTCTTTAGCTTCATTATTTAACATTTATCGTTTTTATTCTATCTCTGCTTGTTTAACATTTATTCCTCTTATTCTCTGTCTCTCTCTCTCTCTCTCTCTCTCTCTCTCTCTCTCTCTATTTCTTCATATATTATCCGCAGAATAAACGCATGTGTATGACTTGTCCTCGATTTTCATGCTTCCTTCAGCTTCGTCTAAATCGTTGCGGCCTGTTCAGAATCGACAGCCTTGATGACTACACGATTATTTACTGCGTTAAACTGCGCGCCGTGATATTTTGCAAGTGCCACGTGCGAATTCAAAGATTACACTTGCGTCGGCTGATTACGCCGCTTGATAATTCTCACTGGAACGTGCTCTCTTCTGAAACGACCGAGAAATCGTCGAGTTAAACTTCGCTTTTCCCGCTCGGCCTATACATATGACTTAATTCAGGTGACTATATTAGGATCTTGATCATTTGCTCTGAAGCAATACCCCACAGACAGCACGGGCGATTCGCGTGTCCTGTCAGGACACCGTTCTTGACATTCGACGTGCTCTCTCACGTGAAGCCAACTTCACTGACATCATCTTGCTCGACGTAAGATCAAGGAGAACTATACCTCATTGTATATCACTGGCTACCGTACGAACTATTCCATATGATTGCGCCTCGCCAACTATCGTCATTCGTCGACTATGGCCGTTTGTTCGCGAAAGCAAAAAGATCGATCAACCTGGACGAAGGACGACGTTCCTTGTCAATTCATCACGGTCGATTTCGAGCAGCCTCTTTGACAAAACGAGTCATCGTCATCTGGATAACGATCCAGGATGTTCCGAATGAGAATGGTACTCCGCGGGTGTTTCGGACGAATGACGAAAGTGCCAAGGAGCGTCGCGACGAAACACCTCGTGCTCTTCGCTATCTTCGTCAATGGCAGCAGCAGCAACGGAGGCGGCGGCGGTGGCGGTAGCGGCGGCGGCGGCGGCGGCGGCGGCGGCGGCGGTGGTAGTGGTGACGGCTGCTGCCGGTGGACCACCCGAAACGACGACAGGGTGGGGGCACCCCCAACATTAGCAGGCGGTGAAGGGAGGCAACGTTTATATGCGGCAGCAATCCGCCCCGTGGACGCATTCGCTCGTACGCTTCGTCCAAAGCGGACTTGAGTAGTAGAGACTTGTCGTCGCCGTTGCCGTAGTCCTCGTCGTTTGTTGTAGTCGAACCGTAGCAGCCGGACGGATCGAGGCCGAAGAGGACGTATCATCGGGATATTAAAAAAAAAAAAAAACGGAAAGCGCGCGGCGGAAAGTTCGAGCGGAGAGAGCGTCAAGATCAACGGGAAATTCGTTGGTGTAATTTCTGGCTAAGCGGCAGTGAAGAGAGCTCACGCATCTTCCTGCACCACTTGTACCTGCAGCGCATCAAGTGAGCCCTGGTCAGGCCGAGAAACGACGATTGAGAGACAGCCGAGTCGATCGAGCGTCGAGCCGAGAAACCGCCGAAATTAGTCGTTATCAGAGAAGTCTGGAAAAGAAGAGTAACAAGGAAGACATGATGGCAGTTGCAGCAGCCCAGAAGAACCGCGAGATGTTCGCTATCAAGAAGTCCTACAGTATTGAGGTAAGTCTCGTTTGTTAACTAACGCTGAAACCGGCTGGACTCGACAAAAGATAAAACGCAAGTTGCGAGAGAATTGGAGAGGAACGTTGGGCAGGACTCGTTGGGACATTGGGAACATTAGTTTTGTAAATGCATTTCGCAGAAGTAGAGCAAAATGTTTTTTTCAATGAGATCTTAATTAATACTTCGAAAATTGGTGTAAACGTATGATATGGGTGTAACAGAGCTTATTAGAAGAGATGTTTTTTTATGTAAATTGTTTGGAACATGTTTAATATTAGTTTTGCCTTACACGAATTCGAGTAAATTATTAATTTCGTTGTTACATTGATTCTACCTGAATATGATCCGACTTTGTTGTAAGAATATAATCGTATGCGTTCTTATACGTGTAAACGTATATGAGTATACAGAACTTATCAGAAGAAATATTCCTCTGTCTAAATTGTTTGGGACAAGTTTAACATCAGTTTTGCTTTACACGAGTTTGAGTAAATTATTAATTTCGTTGTTATTACACTAATTCTGTCTGACAAGCCTGATCCGACTAAGTTTACAACTTAATCTCGTGAGAAGTCTCCATTCGCTGTAAGAATGTAATCGTATACGTTTTTGTACGTGTCAAGAGCAACAGGTTCGATCAAAAAGAGTGAACTTTAGTGCGGGCGAGCGCGGGAATCGAGCCGCTCGTTTAAACCATTGATACAAATGCGCGCACAAGCGTCTTTCTAGCTCCAAGTACCGACGAAAGCACAAGACCGTTGGTCTTGTGGGATTCGGCGTAAGGGAAAATCTCGCCATTTAATAAGCTCCAGTCGGTAAATTGGTCGACAAATTTGTGTAAGACTCGCGTGGATGATAATTGCGGAATCGCAATCCCATAAAGAGTTTTAATATACTTCGTTACAAGTCCATATGCATAATCATAAAGCGTCTCAAGATAGTTCTGAATCATAAGATCGATACCTCATTGCACACTGAACGACTAGGCGTTTATATCGAATAACGAAAAACGGCCGATAATGTCGTCCTTCTTCAACTCCTCGGGGTCCTCTTTGCCTTGATGAAAATTTGCCCGTGGTTTTTTATAATAAATGGTCTTTAATAACACTTGATCGGTGCTCCAAGTATAAGTTGGGACTCACAGTATCAGAATTCATACGCTTCGACGAACGGTCGTAGTTATTTCCATAACTTGAACTTGTTCTATTCAGCAGTATCGTATATTATTCGCCGCGAGATTATGCGCGGCTTGCATTCATTATCGAAAAGTGAGTGTCTGTCGATGAAATAGTATCTAGCTACTGTGCGCACGCCTGTTTGTACTTAATTATGCGACTTCTACGCATAGACGCGGCGCTGGCTTTGGCGCATGTTTGGGATTTTTCATTATCTCCTTCTTCTCTCTCTCTCTCTCTCTCTCTCTCTCTCTCTCTCTCTTTTTCTCTCTCTCCCCTCTCTCTCTCTCTCTCTCTCTCTCACACTCTCTGTCTGTCCTTCTTTCTGTTTTGATGGACACTGCATTTCGAAACAGCTGAAAAAAATTGCGTCAGATAATTAGTCAACGGCGTACATGAGTCGGCTTGGCTCTTTCTCGATTTTAACAACCGGCGGCGCACAGCAGCGAGTGAAATTCTCACGTAGGCCTGTCGAAACGAGGAAAAATTCACATGTGCAGAGAAAGTATACACATTGAGTTGTCATCGAAGGGTGCGCATAATATCAATGACATCATCATCGTGGGGTCATAACACGCAGGTAATAGCACGCAGTCGATGCGGTTTTAATTCGTGCGATCTGTCCGCTCTGTTGATTAGAGATTCCCGGGTTTCGGCAGGAATCTTACGTCGTAAGGTAAAAACACCAATGCCCGGGCACGTACCTAATCCTGAACATTATCTTTGTTTTGGTCTTTAGGTACAATTATTTAAACTTTCAACATGAAATATATGTATATATGTAAATAAGTATTGAATATGTAAATATATTCTATGTTGAAAGTTTAAATATTCGTATTTAAAGACCGAAACAATAAGAATGTCCAGGATTAGGTATGTGTCCGGGAACCTTTACTTTATTCAGTTTCAAATCGAATCGTAAAACTTTCAAACTGCCTATCCGGAACGCAACTGCAGTGCAAAGGTGCGAAGAGGGGAGAAGTGTTTCGATGAATTCCGTGCAATGATCGGGCTCTCGTGTAAAAGTTTGCACAAATTCGAGAATCGCCAAGCAAGACTGACGCAAGTGCACTTAGCGACCGCGAAAAATTCAATCCGCCGGCACGCGTCCGGCAAGATTACACGAGGAAGTAGTTTGCCACGAGCCGGCTGTTTTCGACTCCGGAGGAAACCTCGGTCTAGCGGACCGACGGGAGAAACCGGTGATTCTCTCGATGCACGCAAGTTTATTTTCCTGTCATTTTTAACTCGTCGAAAGTCAAATAGCGCTTTTTCTCCGGACGTTGCGCAAATTGCACACGTTTCAAGCGAGCAGCCGAGACTACTCTTGCATCTTTTCTCTCCCTCTCTCTCTCTCTCTCTCCTTACCGCCCTTCTGAAGAAGCGTGAAAAATCGCATCCTTTCCGTGGCGATTCGTATCCTCTCGATAATCGCATTTAATGTACCACGGTTCTCGCTGCAGACGGTTACGAACAGCAGTAAATCCGCAGTAGTCGCAATTATCGCTTATGCAGCATGCAAATATTCTCGAATACGTAACAGCGTCACGATAACGTGCGAGAGTAATTTTTAATGCATGTACCTATGGACACAGAGACACGCGCACATACGTCCGTCCCGTTAATTGCAGCATACAATATTAATTATGTCTTCCCTCGCGTAATGGCACTCAGAGATGCGCAATAACGGGCCTCAATCGACACTTTTTTTCGAGGCTGTCACGTCTTTTCCTCCTTCGTCGGTCGCGTGTCTAACGAATCGTGTCTGACCATCGCGATCGCAAGGTCGATTCCGTTTCTAATTCGCTTCTGAATACGCGCTACAGCTCATAATTGTCACTTTTACGAGGCCATTCGCTCTTTTTCCCTGTCGTACATGCATCCGTAACGACGGACACGAAGTTTTGCGACCGTCTATGGCTCGTAATCGCAAGGTCGATGTCTCATTAATCACGCATGAGCGTCTATGCCGCTCTATGAGACAAGCGCGATGATATGTACAAATCGTAATCGCCGCTTCCTTCACAGCGCGTTCCCCGTCGGTTCGCCGTCATCCGCCGAAACAGCCGAGGTCTTACACGACTTACACAGATGCCAAGATTACAAGACTTACACAGGCGCAAGTGACTTACACAGATCGCCGGCGTTCGCGAATTCGAACGTCAGTCGCCTTTCGCGAAAATTTCACCGGAACGTTACACTTTTATTTATGCATAATTTAATGTTACGTTGTGCGTATCAAGCGCCGTTACCGCGAATAGTTTAGATTAGTATTCTCCTAGTAAACCAGCACCATTTTTATGATCAGTAATATAACATAATATCAATAATAACATGTCAGCTCAAACATGTGATTTGTTATCTAATAAATGTTATATAAGTTTTTGTTATTTAACATTAACGTAACACATATTGTTACATAATAAATCACATATTTGAGCTGACATTTTATCATTAATGTTATATTACTGATATGTAAAAATGGTGTTAGTTTGGCTTGAATGTAACGTCAAGATTAAGGCGTGAATAAATTCGACCTAGATCCATATAGCTCCTTTCCTACGTATACAGAGAAAACATCTCGTAGCAAAAATTACGTTAAAATTATATATTTTTAAGTAAAATTTCTAGATTAAATATTTATAAAATATTTTTTGTAAAGCTATATATTATATATATTATATATGTTTTCCATATTAAATATTATTTATTTATATCTTTATAATTATTTATTTATTTGTATTAATATTTATATTATTTTTTTGTAAAACTGGACTACTTGCAAATTGTAGTATAAATTACTAGAGATAGTATATTTGACAATTTACTCAATATAAGATACAAAAGACATATTTTCTATATAGAAAGATCTATTCTCTATATTAAATATTTATAATATTTCTTTTTGCAAAGCTGGATTGTATTGAAATTGCAGTATAAATTGCTATAGAAATAGTGAATTTGACGATTTGCCGAATATATATAATAAAGAAAACATTCGAGTAATTAAAATAATCTTGAAGTAAAAAGTCAAACGTACATAATAGTTTTAAATAAATTATCTCGGTTATAATTTCGGTGTGATCCAGAAAAATGATAATAAAAATTTTGCTATAATTTTTATTACGGTATTTTTTCCCTGTACATTAAAGGGACTGTCGTACTTCCTGTGACACTCTAGACGTCGTATGATCGTATGATTTATCACTTATACGGGTTTCCGTAAATAAGAAGATATATCGCTTCGACGCTTACACGCGACATTTTTACACTTTCTCCATATAATTCCATTAGCAGAAATGAATGATTCTTTTTGTGAATTTGTGAAATATTTATCTTGTGAAGTCCTTCATAAAGAAGGAGAAAAGGAAACAGAGGATTATTCCCTATAGGACGAGAATTGTTAAATATTTAGCTTTTAGCGCGTAATACACCTTCGTTACCTACATTTTTCGAGATGCAAAATATTTGAATCTATTTAAACGGTCGTGTTGCGATGTTTTTTTTATTTACACTTTCTTCACTAGTTAGATTTTCTGGTGACGGAAACCGTGGTGCCGCCCCAGCATGTATCCGGCGATTTCAATTCCGGAGAATCAGATCTATCTGGATCTCTCCTCTCGCACGATGGAGTTCGGGATCGCGCGTCTCGTCGCACAAATCTTGTCACACGGCTGATTTCAAATAATCGCGACCGCCTGCGCGCGTCTCGTATCGTACGTCAACCAAGACTTTTGCCTATTTAACGACTGTGACGAGTCTGACTCATTTGAACGGAACTCGTGTGCGTGTGCGCGCACCGGATCTAGATACTGGATCGGA